ACCCAGTTTATACGAACAGGACATGCCCTAGAATTATGCTTTTTTCATTAAACAGAGTCCTGTTATATCTGATATGAATTTTTTAGTTTAGAAAGATAAAGAAATGTTAGCCCACACAGATTATGACTTAATGTAAGTGGAAAGTAAGAGTTGTCCATTTGAGAAAACAATTCAAATAAATAAGATTAAAAAATTACAAACTCACAGGATTTTTCTCATTTCCTGTGTATATACATTTATCAACATATATATTAGTGTATACATACATAATATTGATTTTAAATTGATTCAGAATTCAAATAATATCAACCAGATGCACAATACTATAATTTTATAATAAATCATATTTTGCAAAGAAATGTTTTACTCAGACTTCAATTAGTGAAAGATAAAAGATCAAATTTATCTTAAGAATGGAGATTAAAAATATTTCAGTTTCTTCTTTTAAGAAATACCTTGGACAGGGCTGGGAAGGTGGCTCGGTGGTTGAGCACTTGCCTTGCATGCCTGAGGCCCGGGGTTCGATTCCTCAGCACCACATAAGCAAAAAGAAAAAAGCCGGCAGTGGCGCTGTGGCTCAAGTGGTAGAGCGCTAGCCTTGAGCTGAAGAGCTGAGGGACAGCGCCCAGGCCCAGAGTTCAGGCCCCACGACCGGACCCAAAAAAATAAATAAATAAAATAAAAATAAAATAAAAAAGAAATACCTTGGACAATGTATTATGTAGCTAATTGGTCTAAATATATTGTATAATCAAACTTTGAAATAAAGTAAAAAATTGGGTTTCTATTTAAGATTAAGTACTGCATGACCAAACTACTGTGCTAGGCTTTGAAGGCATTTTTTTAAGTTGAAAAATTAAGAAAAACTACAGTGTTGCAATATATTTTTCATGAGAATACTGGTTAGGAATAAATAAAGGCTATAAGCAACCACTGAAAAAAGCTATATTAGTGTTGATTCTCAGTGTATACCCATTTTAAATAGTCACTCAAAAATAGTTCATCTGTTATAGGTGCATAAAAACTGGAAGGGTTGAAGTTTGTTCTAGATTAAGTCAAGAATTATTTGGATTCAATTCATAAAAAGTAAGCCTGAATGAGCAGACACACATAATCCTCATCAACCATAACAAATATAAAAGCAATTTCCTGGGATTGCCTACTACCAACCTGCTGGGAGAACAGAGAGGGTGCTATACAAATATTGAGATTGAGAGATGATGTATATTGTATAATATATATTATAATCACAATAATTATATAATAATATACATAGGAATACAACCTTCCTGTATAGCTAACATAATCTAATTAAAAAAATAAATAAACCTAGCCAGGTGTGAGTGGCTCATACTTATAACCCTAGCTACTCAGGAGGCTGAGATCTGAGGATCATGGTTTGAAACCAATCTGGGACGGGAAACTCCATGAAACTATCTCGAAACAACCATCAAAAAGCCAGAAGTGAGCTGTGGCTCAAGTGCTAGAGCACTAGCCTTGCGCAAAAAAGCTCAGAAACAGAGCTCAGGCCCTGAGTTCAAGCCCCAGGATGGACAAAAAAACTAAACAAAAAACAAACTCTGCTAAATTACAGTTTTATAAACAGTTAAGAAAAATTCAATATAAAGCATTAAAATTAGTAAAATATAGTATAAAGTAATAAAATATATAATCCATTGTATTATACTATGTTGCCATAGTATACAATATATAGTATATAGTAGTATAGCATCTAGAAAAAATAGTGAAACTAAATAGAAATTATCAGTATTATCACCTCTTCTTGGGAACCTTTCTTTCATATAACTCTTGCAAAAGAAATAACAAAACAAAAACAAAAAACAAAAACAAAAAAAGAAGAATACGAGTGACTACATGCTTCCTCACTCCTTTTTTTCTTTTCTTTTTCTATTTTTGTCAGTCATGAGGCTTGAACTCAGGGTCTAGGCACTGTCCCTGAGCTCTTTTGCTGAAAACTAGTGCTGTACCACAGTGCCACTACTGGTTTTCTAGTGGTTAATTGGACAAGAGTCTCATGGACTTTCCTGTCCCAGGCTGAGTTGAACCACAATCCTCAGATTTGAGCATCCTGAATAGCTAGGATTACTTGCATGAGCCACTCACAGCTGGTTGGATTTTTTTAAGAAAAAAATATGTATCTTCCATACATGTGTATCCTCTATACACTTCAATCATAAAATTTATCCTTGTTTTATGCAATACTGGGCTGTGAGGTCCTGGCCTAGAACTTCTTGGTTCATTTTTATATCTTTAGTATCAAGAACGCTGCATGACAAATGGTGGCTGTTTAAATATATCTTTTTACTGTGTATTCATCCCTATTCATTGAATTCATGCCATAATAAAATAAACCACCCTTTGATTTTTTTGTGGGTTTTTGTTTTTTTGTTTTTTGCCAGTCCTAGGGCTTGAACTCTGGGCCTGGGCGCTGTCCCTCAGCTTCTTTTGCTCAAGGCTAGCACTCTACCACTTGAACCATAGTGCCACTTTGGCTTTTTCTGCATATGTGGTACTGAGGAATCAAATCCAGCACTTCCTGCATGCTAGGCAAGCACTCTACCACTAAGCCACATTCCCAGCCTAAACCCTCTGTAAACAGGTGGTGAAATTGATGATGCACTTCTATATCAGTATTATTATAAATATGTTCAGGTCAAGAAAACAATTATAGCCAAGCATAGTCATGCCTCCCTATGATCCCAGTACTCAAGAGACTGAGCCAGGAGAATTGTGAATTCTAGCTTGGGCCATATCTGGAAAAGGGGGTGAGCAAAGCAGAGCAAATCAGCAAGAAGCAAGATGGAAGTGTGGGAGATAGTATCTTCAGCATTTACTACAACAAAAAACAAGCAAAAACACTCATACACAAACCAAAATAACTCAAGGGAGGGGTCCAGGGCCCATTTCATAGGAAATGGACCCTAGAATGAATGTGAAATAGCACAGTGGAGCCAGAGAGTGCAGAGTATCCTTACAGAAAGGAAAGGCTCTCAGGCTAGATCCGTAAACCTAAATTTGAGCCACTAGGAGACCTTAGGGGAAGAGAGAGAGAGGGAGAGAGAGGGAGAGGGAGAGAGGGAGAGAAGGATTGAGAGAGAAGAGAGAGAGAGAAGGGGGAGGGAGAGGGAGAGCGAGGGGGGAGAGGGAGAGGGGGGGCGGCGGCATCTGTAATCGCCATTAGAGAGCAGTGGCTTGTTCCAGCACCAAGCAGAAATATTTATCATCTGTTGTTACTCAAAATCGACAGCCTCCCTCCAGAATCCTAGGTTGTGGAAGACAGGGAAAGGCGAGTTCCCGACCGCTGCTGCAAGAATGCCACACTCTGTGTGTCCAGCTCAGAATCCAGCTCTGCAGCTGTTCCATGTCCATCCATACATCACACAGCTTGCACCCTGGCCAAGCAACATCTGCACACCAACTCTGTGAGCAATGAGTGCCACCTTGAACTCCAGACTCTGACAAAGTTCTGTTACCACACGGTAATTTACCATACCTCAGCCAACTGTTTTTACCATTTTAGTAAACCTCAGCTCTCCTGCCGGCACGGGAAGCACCAAAATGTCACTGCACAAGCGCAGACATGTTCAGCAGTTCAGGATGGTGTAGCGCGCCTAAGCCTGTATGATAGATTTGTCTGTGTCGGCTGCTGCTTTTACCACACCTCACACACCTACTTGAGTCTCGCCACCATCATCTGTCTCACAGTGAGCCGCAACCGAGGCTTCAACCTGTTTATTCTCTACGCTTTAATACGTACAAGTTCTGACACTGAACCCTGAAAGCCAAAAAACTCTTGGCACGTTCTCTCCAAACACTGGTCTATTACACACGCCTCCATTGGTTTCAACTTGAGGTGTCATGGTTCTGGAACCAGTACAAATCCAGTTTTGAAACTAGTTATGGTAGCACATGCCTTTATAATCCTAGTACTTGAGAGGCAGAGTCAAGGATGATCACAAATTCAAGGCTAGTCTGCTCTACACAGCAAGTTCAAGGCCAACCTATGATACACAATAAGAACCTCTCTGAAAACACAGAGAGCTAGAGATGTACCTTAGGGATAGATTGCCTGCCTAGCATGCACAAGGCCCTGTTTCCAATCCAAGCAACACAAAATGAGTAAATATAGGTATATAAGCCCAACTTCAAGAGAAAACATATAATTCCACTTCATTCCATTTTAACAAATACTAAGTTCACTATAGCTGTGGATTCTACATCTATAGACACAATGTTAGGTCAAAAAATACTTCACAAGAATTCCATGTGTGTTAAACTGTACAATTTTCTTGCCATTATTCCCTATACTACAAAGTATAACCACTATATCATAGCATTTAAACTTTATTACTTACAGTAAGTAACCTACAGATGCAAATATTATGTCATTTTATATAATATACGTGCTCATTCACTGGTTTTGCATTTGAAGAAGGGGGGCTGGAACCATTCTCCTGAGGATGGTGTGGTTCAGTTGTACTTATCATGTGCTAAATATCTGCCATATTATATGCTAAGTAATATGAATATTAAGACTGGTTAACTCTCCTACCATCAAGGACTTCACACCTGATGGAGAAAGAAACATGTGAATAATCACCATTATTCAATGGAGTAAGTTAGATCCTTATATATGACATCCATTTTAAGGCTGAGACAGACTGAACTGTTGAGAATAGTATGGAAATCCAGAGGGACATTTTTCCCTGACAGAGACGATGTCTTAAGACCACCTGCACTTCTTGTCTCCTATCAACCCAAAAGTTTAGATGTTAAAAACAGTACATCGGAGCATTGAGATCGACTCAGGATAAAGGTATCCAATTGAACAATGGCTTATTTGGTACTATAAATGCAGCTAGAATCTACCTAGAGGTCAAAGACCACCAAATCCTCTTTTAAGACATCACCTCTCAAAAAGCTAGAAAAAAACACAATGAAAATGCCTTATGATTTCAATAATACAGTACATATATTACCTTTAAATATGATCCATAGTATTTTGTTACATAGGAACTGTCACACTGGCTCAGAACTGTTATTTCTTGCTGAATGTCTTCTATTTCATCCTCGGCTTCCTCAAGGTCTATGATTTTAATGGCAACCACTTGCTGAGTACGATTATCAATGCCTTTGAAAACTTCTCCAAATGAACCTTTCCCAATGCGTTCTAATTTTGTGAACAGTTCTTCAGGATCAGCTATATTATTCTGAGGGAAGAAGGAAGAGAGAAAGAACATGGTTTGAATCAAAAACATTTTTAAGGCAAGAAAATCAATCACTTAGGACAACATTTCCACAGATTTTCAGTTCATTCTTATTTTCAGTTGTATATACTTAGGAAGAATCATGTGATCATTTGATTTATGTATATTCAATGTACCATGATCACATTAATTCACATTCTCATCTGCTTAAACATGTATTCTTTCTTGTTGTTTTTTCAGCATACAAATTCCTTTGACTCCCTACATTTGCTTTGTGAGAACAATTATGATCCTGAAAAGCCAGCTAGTCTGTATTCTATTGGACCACCCACACTAAGGAGGCTTAGCTGTTCCTGCTGCCCAAACAATCCCATGGAGCAAATGTTGTTGGTGGGGCCTGCCAAAGGCTTGGGCACTTCTTTAAAAATAAAACAGCTGATTATACACAGTTTGTACATTAATGCAAATGTGGCATTAATGAAAGAACACATTGCTTGGGCTAAGGTGAAATATTGAAAAATTCAAATATGCTTCCACTAGTACCTTTAAACTCTTCTTCTCTGTCTCTAAGATATGTCAGGCACCTTACTTTTGCTTTAAATAACCATTCTAACAACCTGGAATCTGATGGAGAGAGAAATGTGTGAATAATCACCATTATTCAATGGAGTAAGTTAGATCTTTATATATGCCATCCATTTTAAGGTTGAGACAGACTGAACTGTTGAGAATAGTCTGGAAATCCAGAGGGATATTTTTCCCTGCAGAGACAATGTCTTAAGACCAGCTGCTCTTCTGGTCTTCCATCAACCCAAAAGTTTAGATGTTAAAAACAGTACATCTAAGCATTGGGATAGACTCAGGATACAGGTTTTCAATTGAACAATGGCTTATTTGGCACTATAAATGCAGCTAGAATCTGCCCACAAAATACTCAAAGATTCAAACATTTTTTTTTCTAAAATTGGGATCTTTTCTGTGTGTAATGTTCTCATCAATAGCTGAAGTAAGATTGTATGCCTTTATTAAGAACTTTCACCTGCCTGGTCATGGAGCCACATACCAGCATTAAGGAGGCTGAGGCAGGAATATTACAAGTTCAAGAACTACATAGTAAGACTGTGGGACCAGGAGAGAGAGGAGGGAGAGGGAGACAGAGGGGAAGAGAGACAGAGAGAGAGAGAGACAGAGCATACTTTAAATAAAAGCAGAGGAAACAAAAGCAAAATGAAACAAATAGAAAATACTTGGAACCATTCAGCAGACCAAAGGATTAATATCCAGTATATATACGGAACTTGAAAACTCAACAACATAAACCCTAAAAATAAGAAATACAAATGGCTGACAGGTTTATGAAAAAATTCTCAGTATTATTATATCATTGGCCTTTAGGAAAACACAAGTCAAAAACTATAATCAGATACTCTTAGGGGCAATGCCTGTGTGCCTATAATCATATAAAATAATATTTATTAAAATGAACTCCAGGAAATAGGGGAAACCACCATAATCAGGTATCTAACCCCAGTTAGATAATGGCCATTATTATTTTTTAAATGTTGCCTAGGGTGTAGAGAAAAGCGAATTCTCCTACAGTGTTTGTGGGAATGTAAATTAGTTCAGCCACTATCGAAATCAGTATAGAAGTGCCTCAAGTACCTAAAAATAGAACTACTGTATGATCCAGGTAACCCACTCCTGTGTATGTACCTGAAGGGAATTAGGTAACCATATAAAAGACACACCTGCACACCATGTACGTTGCTAGTCACAGGAGGAAAGATGTTGAATCAGCCCAGGTACCCATCAAAAATGTGACATATTCTAGCTTATCGGGAGACTGGGATCAAGCAGGATGTACAAGTGTATAAGTAAAAGAAGGAAATACAGGGTCTGGGAAGGTGGCTCAGTGGTAGAGCGCTTGCCTTGCATGCATGAGGCCCTGGGTTCGATTCCCCAGCACCACATAAGCAAAAAGAAAAAAAACCGGAAGTGGCGCTGTGGCTCAAGTGGTAGAGTGCTAGCCTTAAGCTGAAGAGCTGAGGGACAGCACCCAGGCCCAGAGTTCAGGCCCCACGACAGACCGGACCAAAAAAAAAAAAAAAACCAAAAAAAGAGAAGGAAGTACAGTATAGCTAGGCCCCAGTGGCTCACACCTATAGTCCTAGCTACTCAGGGGGTCTGAGATCTGAGGATTGTGGTTTGAAGCCAGACTGGGCAGGAAAGTCTGTGAGACTCTTCTCTCCAATTAACCACCAAAAAGTGAGGTGTGACTTAAGTGGAAAAGTGCTAACTTTGAACAAAAAAGCTCAGGGACAGTCCTTAGGTCCTGAGTTCAAGCACCTAGACCAGCACCAAAAAAATGAATTGGAGAATATTTGATACGAACAGGAACTAAGCAAAAATTCTACTCAAATTCAATTTTCTCTAGGAGAGAAGACTATGACACAGAGAGGGAGGGCATATAGCTCAGCAGCAAAGCTCTTGTTTAGAATGCTTAAGGCCTTGAGTTTGATCCCCAGCACCACAAATAAATAAATACAATAAATTGTTGAAGTTAGTTAACTAGTTAACTAGTGGCAAAGCTCCAACTTGAACCCAAATTTCTTGATTTTTCTTGTCTATAATTCCTTTTGTATAGCTTAGATCTACTTGTAACTTAAGCACCTCTCTTTTGCTTTAAAACAAAAGCTATTTCCATTATAAGCAAATAACACAATTATAAAATGTGTATTTTGTTTATCCTAACGCTTACAGAAGTTAAAAAATTGAACTTCCTAGAATTTGAAAACTGTTGCACATTTTCATCAGGTTTATCCCTGTCTTGAAGTATATATGCTTCTTACAGAACACACATTGCCTCATTATTGTGGTAGAATATTTAACATTTATTCATCATTTTTAATATTAAAATATACTGTTATTAACTATAGTCACCATGTTGTAAAACAAATCTTTTGAACCTCTTCCTCTCATGCAACTGAAATTTTGCATCCTTTAACCAATCATTTGTTTCAGCATGGAGAAACTGGCAGGAAGTTAAATTAAGTGAAGTTAAAGGATATAATGATACATACTGCATGATCTCATTCATATGTGACATTTTGAAAAGTTCATCTCATAGATGCCAGAGCTGGGGGCAATTGGATGTCAGAGAAAAGTTGGTCCAAATAATATATCATCATTTTGAACCATCATGCAATTGACTGATACCTATACATATGCACAACAGCCACACATATTAGAATCTTAAATAAAAGTGATCTGTAAATACTCTTGACTTTCTGTCAAGGACACTATACTTGGACCATTTTTTTCCATGCCAGTAACAAAGCTGGAATGGGCCAGTCCCCTAGAGTGTGGGAGGCAGAGTTGCAATGGTATTCCATATCATGATTCCCATAGGATCCCATGTCAGCATGCCAGCAGCTCCAATTCCAGCTACATCAGTGATTTATTGTTGACTTCAGTAACCCTTTAATAGTATGGTTTCCACTTCCGTTCATAAAATAGAATCAATGGATGTGCCCCAAAATTTAAAAAAAACCTAATATTTGCTGTCAATTGTTAAGTCTGTGTTAGGTTTTCTGTAGGTCGAGAATTGTTGAAATGACCATGTGAATGTTCAGATTATTATATTAATGAAGAAGATAAAACAAATGCTGTGAGTAGAGTATTTCTCTACTTAGCTCAACCTCAGGCTCATATTACAAGTATCTGATAAGATTTTTATAGAATCCTTACGAGACCTCTGTGATTTATAGTTCTGAAGGAAAATACTTAGCTTCACTATATTTCATGGATGACAGAATAAGAACTAAGATAAAAATTAAGTATGTCTGTATGTGTTTCAAATTAAACAAAGAATCTTGGCTTGAGGTCACATTCCTTTAGGTGGTCAGTCACTCAAATTTGTATTTCCAGGTTTATAAGAACTCACTATATTAAACTAAATGTATAAAGAAAAGTTTTTTGTTTATTTTTATAATATGATTGTATTTTTATGTCTCTCTCAGAGGTAACTATAACTTGCCTGTGGGACATAAAATTGCAGTCAAATTGTGAGATTTCATGCGTGTATATATCATGAGATAAATGAAATGTAGTTCAAAATGCCATTACAACAAATCTGTCTCCCTTATGGTCTTCAGAAAGCATTTTATCAGCTCACAGATGAGTCCCTTTCATTACCCACGCACTTAAAAGGCAGTTTTGAGATGGATGAGGTCAGCACTGCAACTCTGTATTTCTGTGGCAAAGCAAAAACTCAAAGATCCCACACAATACTGTTCAGCACTCTTAAGGCAACCATTTAAACTTTAAGTAATATTGGACATAGCACCAAGAAAAATGTGCTCATAAAGCAGAAATAAAATTAAACATATAAGTGCTTTTTCACCTTCCTTCTATTATCTCTTTTTAAGTGCATCTCATTAACACAAATACTTAGAATGCAAATATTTTGGTAAAGGATAACTTTGTTAAAATCATTACAAAAGGTTTTGACACCACTGCATGAATAACAGCACTGTGAGGAGTGTCTTCTGATTAGCAATTGTGACTGTACTTTATCTTTAAGAACAAAAGAATAATTGGTAATATTCCTTCATCTTAATTCCTCCTACTCAAGAGAAGATAGGAGAAGAGCCTCCTAACTTGCAGTTTTTCTCTTTCCGCAGGCTCTGATCACAGGGAAGGAACAATGAAGCATGCAGAACACATTCTGGGTGGTGAGGAATGAAGTTCTCTACATATGTTTGTAAGACAGTTCAATTCACAGTGCTGTAACAAGGAATGAGACATTTCTTTTGATTCTATTGTCATTTTTTTACCACATACTGCTTTTATCTAAAGTAAGATAAAATATAAAAGGAATGAGAAAAATTTAACCATAACTATCCTTAAGAAAAAAAAAACAAAGTCACAAGAGGCAGCACTTTTGTTAACTAAATTTCCCAAATATGGAGGTCCTTGTACTTCTGTTATTTTAATTGAGGGCA